CCTCTTAAACCTTCTACAAATAAGAAACAGTAAAGATATTTGTACTTTCCTGAATGACACCTTATGCACAAATGGGCTGAACAGCTTGTTAGCGATCTCAAACTGCCAGAAGGAAGGCAGGCACTTAGCGGCACCTGCTGCTACAAGAGCTTTGCGCTGTTTTAATCTGAATAACGTGATTGACTCATTTTTTTAATGCAACTACAACTGAGAATGCGGAGCGTGTTAAATGTTACCGTTGTACGTGCGAATCTTTCATTTTCGAATACGTAGCTCAACACAGACTAAACTAATTAGATATTCCCGGTTCATATTTATAAATTCAACTATAATTAAGATATTTAAAACTATCGACATGTCACGACTAATAGTGGTAAATTCGCAGTCTCATTACTGTCATAAAAGTAGTTTTATCATTTTAACTGTTATTCACAAGAGTAATTACCTAGACGTACCATAAACCAAATTTTACACATCAACACTGAAGTACTTTTTCGCTAAGCTCACTACAAAGTTTTTACCAAATAAGTATGAAAATATTAACTCTGTTTACGATTGATCAAACCAACTTCTTGGTTACAACAGTTATTTTATTTATAGTTTTCAATAGAGGTATAACGGATCGTAATTGAACCAGAAACAAGGTAGCCATCTGGAAGCAGCTGCTGTTACAAGGCAGATGTATTAGTAGATTCTGTCATCAGTAAGATTTTGTTATAGTAAAAGTGAACTAACGGCCAGAAACAAGGTAGCCATCTGGAAGCAGCTGCTGTTACAAGGCAGATGTTTTAGTAGATTCTGTCATCAGTAAGATTTTGTTACAGTAAAAGTAAACCATTACGTCTTGCTGTATTTACAAGCTCAATTTTGAGTGTGTACGTTGTGATAAATGGTCGAAATTATTTAAGTTCAGATTAAATATATTTTAGTAAAGAAATGATTTGATATATTATTGACTATTTCACACTGATCTTTGTATCTAAATTATCAAACTTATTATTATTCATGAGCATATATAAAAAAATATGGTTTTGGTGGGTAAAATGTATACTTTAAGTCAATCAAAATTTATATATTTTTTAAATATTACAACTGTAAAAACGGTTGTTGTTTTCATAGAGCAATGGGCGATTTGAACTCAGTGCATCGTGGGGAATCTAACCCTTGATTTTAGCGTTGTACGTACATATGTTATCGCTGACCCAATCAGGGACATAAACATTAAAATGAAAAATAATATTGTATATTCATTAACTCATAACCACGTTAGCGCTAGGTAAGTATCAACATCACAGTGACAGAAATTACACTCTAAAACAAAAGGTGTGGTTTTAACATTAACACCTTATAGTAGTAAACAGTGTGACAACTCACCCATAAAAGTGCAAATCATAAAAATATGCAACAAATATATATATAGTTGAGTAGTGTGAATGAAAGCCTTTTTTTTACGTGTATTTCCTGTACCACTGCTTTACACCCCTAAAGGTGTGAATTCACACCTTTCTTAGTGTAGCCATAATTAAAACTGTATATTTATTATAATTATAACAGTGTCACAACCTTGCTAGAAACCGAGGTAATTCTAACTACACCTGTTTTTCTGAGTAATGATGTTTTCATTTATTTGTGATCCTCAGCGTGCACAAACTGCTTATGTACAAGTTTGTTTGTTTGAAGTTAAGCACAAAGTTACACAATGGGCTATCTGTGCTCTGCCCACCACGGGTATCGAAACCCGGTTTCTAGCATTGTAAGTCCGCAGACATACTGCTGTGCCAGTGGGGGGTGGCTCTGTACAAGTGATTTTATTGTATTATTTGTATTTTTGTTAAGTTTTTCAAGAGAAAAAAAGAGCACGGATGCTACTAAATGTTTCCTTTGTCGTATGGATACTGATATTTCTCAGCATTAACATATTTGTTCATAGTTATTCAGATGTCTTGGGAGAGTTATATTAGAAAAAAACATAAAAACTACATGTATTATACTACACAGTAGTTATATACAATTTTCGTTTTCTTACTGTTTAATCCATGGGGGTGCTATATTAGAAATTACAGTAAAATATATTGATTCCTGCATTTAAAATAAAAACTGGTGTTTTTGAATAAAATGGTTAGTTGAATTACCACTACACGAGCAAATAGCTCATAAATACATAGCTTGATAATTAACTTTAATCAAAGTTATTAGCATGTATCTCATCCGTTTACGTTGAGATGAACAACAGCCCAGGCACTACTTTAACATATAATGAAGCTAATTTGTTGTGTTTGTATTCCGATAATTGTACGAGCATTGCAAATTACAAACATGTATATGAAACATAAGTATTGTATGCCAAACAAACACTAGATATCTTGCTTCTGTTCTCCCTGATGGCAAAATTGATGGTCTCATATTAATTTTAATGTCGTTATTCCTTACAGGCATCTCTGTATCTGATATGCATTTCGTAGCTACAATTAACTTATTAATCAAGGTGAAGACGAAAAAAATACTACGTGAAATAGAATTAAGGAGAAACAAACAGAGAGTCTCTTAGGATTGTGTACATGGCTCAGCTCCTTTTTTATTCACGTTAAGGATTCAGCAAATCTCTATATATATATTACTAAAACTCTGAGATTGTTTGTTTGCTTGTCTGTAATTAAAAACGGCGCACAATAGTGCCATATTTGTAATGAAATGAGAATAGAAACAGAATAAAATAAGTTTCGTTAAAATCGGGCCACGGGTTACCGAGTTAGCGCCGTTTTTCGGGTCACTTGTATGAAAATTTCTAGCATGTGTAATTTTACATCACACTACCGTTCGCGCTCTTTACGAAACTTCTTCGTCCAAAATTTATTTCCCTGTCAATGTTCCCATCTTCATTAAAAGGCGTAAGATGACAAAAACAAGATCTTGAAGAATTTCTCAATAATGTGCCTTGGTTATGGTAGGTAATTGGAAGAGAAAATAAAGTGTTACTGTTTCTTAAGGTCAGAGTTTTTGTTCATCAGATTTCAAAACTTTCAGAATAGCACAAGTCATTGAACAACTTGATTCCGAGATCAAAGCTTTTGTTTACCAGATTTTGAAACTTACAGAACAGAGCAAGTCCTTGAACAACTTATTTCTATGAGATCAGAGTTTTTGTTAATGAAACATTGAAATTTCCAAAGTTAGCTTCACGAACCCATAGTGTTCTATTAAACACATAAGCATTTTCATAAGCATAAAATCAACATTTTGAAACGATAGCAAGATCTAACCACTTCGACACAGAGTCAGAAATGTTGTGTCCACGTTTAACTCATGAATTAGCAATCCAAATAAATATTCTATTTACAATACCATTTCGTAGACTGTTTTCTTAAAGTCAGAAACTGTGGAATTACTCTCGTGAGCATATAGTTGTATTTGAGGGTAAATATCCTTTTAAGGATCACACTGTGGAATTACTCTCGTGAGCATATAGTTGTATTTGAGTGTAAATATTCTTTTAAGGACCACACTGTGGAATTACTCTCATAAGTAAAGTACTTTTAAGTTTAAGTATCCTCTTTTTTGTTGGTCTATTTGTGCTCTATCCATCACAGGTAATCAAACCCTGGATCTTAGCGTTGTAAGTGCATAAACTTACCTCTGATCTACAAAGGGACAACTATCTTTTTTAATGGATCACACTGTTTCATTACTCTCGCGAGTATAGTAATATTTGAGTGTAACTATCCTTTCTAAGAATCATACTGTTTGGTTACTCTCTGGAGTAGAATTATATTTGTCTTAACTGTCCTCATTAGTAATTATTAGGGCAGGTCCTCATTAGCCTACTGTGTAATTACTCGCACGAATAAAGTTATGCTCGAATCTAAACGGCCTTTTTTTAGCATCACAATAAAATAGTCAAAGCTGAGCCAAGGTAGCCTTTTCAGGATCATTAGAAATCCAAACTACTCTTCTGTAACTTCTCATATACGTGTTTTATTACAATCCAATTATCTAAGTCATCGTGAAGTTATCATTTACGAATTCTTACTCATACCCACACGTTTTTCAATTCTTGTTCCAGGATAACTGTTCTTTAATGTTAATATTTAACCAGGTGTTGAAACTTGTACCGAAATCAATAGCTCAATTTAGATTTCACCATAGGCAGGGGCCATTCCTGTTTTCAGACTTTGCCTGTAGGTCACAATAATTATTACGCCAATACGACAGTAATTTTGAACTCTTTACTACAACATTTTGTAGTAATATAAGATATTTTGCAGACGTTATTTTTCTAACTTGTTTGTTGATGAAAATTCTTCGAATGATATACCTTTTCTAGACGTGTTAGACATTATCTAGACTCTTGTACAATCGTAACTACGTCTTGGCTTTTGATGATGAAGTCTCTGTGGATATCTGAGAGGGAGGTTTCGAATACTTAAGCGAACATCTGTGGTGACAAGTTCAGTTTTGTTTCTAATTCCATTTTGGTTCTGAATGTAATAGCTACTGTACGCCGTTACTGATTCTGCTGCATTACTACCTGACTGGTTAACGGCTTCGCAGCTTGACGAGTCTTTTTTTCGGTACACAATTTCTATGAATCCCTTTCGAACTCGAACATTGAAATAGCCGTAAAATATGGGATTCAGAGAACTGTTGAGCAATGCCAGGGTTTCCGCTCCTATGATTATGGGTTTCGGCACAATTATAGTGTAATTGCTGTATATACGAATGATATGAACAATAAAATATGGTGTCCAACAAATGATAAAGCTGGCTATGATACAAACTGTCAATTTCAGGGTCTTGATTTTCGCTCTGGGAAAAGTAGAAGCAGCGTTTACAGATCTTCGGAGATAGATGGCGCTGGAGTCATTGTTCTGATCTCGACTCGCCATCCACACAGAGCGAAGAACGTTAACGTAACAGTAACTGATACACGTACTAGGAATAATTAAAATATAGGTTGTGAGCCACGTAAAGTAAAGCTTTCTTTGCCACATAGCGGTATACCCTTTACTCGCACATTCATAACGTACACGACCACTTGTAGAAATTCCACTCTCTACCTGTTGGATGAATAAATATTTATAACTACAGGTTGAAAATTATAAATGTAATTAATAACTGACGGAAATGTTTTGTTCAAATCGTTCCTGATCACTGATGCATTTAAATTTAAAAATGGCAAACGTAATGTAACTCCATATCTTAATCGATATTACAGTATCAGGGTCATCAAGAAAATTATAATTATTATTAGCTTATATGTGGAAATATTAATATCAATAAAAACACCTACTTTTTTAGCGTGTAATAATTTCGTTAAATAAAAACACCTACTTTTTTAGCGTGTAATAATTTCGTTAAATAAAAACACCTACTTTTTTAGCGTATAATAGCTTCGTTAAATAAAAACACCTAGTTTTTAGCGTATAATATCTCGATTAAAATAGAATCAGCAACTAAATTAAAGAAAAATGTCGAAGCAAAATAAACATGAAATATTTTAAGATTAATCACCAAATAATTGTATTGTATACGAACAAAGTCAGGTGCCATAATAAACATTTCCTACCTCAACGAAAATGAAAAATTGCAGTGGAAATACGAGTAAATTAAGGTCTTATAATATAAATTTCACCTACTTTAACAAAAATAAAAAGTTGTATTGGAAATACGAGCAAACTAGAGTATCATAATATAAATTCACCTACTTCGACAAAAATAAAAAGTTGAGGGATGGCCAAGATGCCACCAAGGATCCAAGATGCAATGATCATTCTTTTGGCTTGAGCCACACCGCCTCGTGAGCGTAGTGGCCGACAGATGGCTTGGTAGCGGTCGTAACTCATAGATGTCAAAATAAACGTGGAACTCGCTAAGGTGACAATCTGACCATAGACAATTAGCTTGCAAGCTATTGGTCCAAGAATCCAGCCTCCAAATACCTGATAGAAAAAATAAAAGAGATAACCGTTAATAGGCTAAACGATTACATAGAACTTAAATTTTCTTCATCTGGTGCAACCGTGGATAGCTCGTAAATATATATATATATATATTGAGTCTTAATCGCATTCCTCCTGTTGATCCGAATGGCTGATTTAGATTTTACATTAATTTTAGTATACTTATTTTTGGCTTTCGTTCTGTGTTTGAACTATGCGTAGTTTTACCTTAATCGAAACCAAAATATAATCTCATGAAATGAAAACAAACAACAACAACAAATTGACATAAACCTTGTGTGATTTATAATATACTTTGATATGAAACTTCAAGTTGAATTTTAAGTTTAAAAAGTCTCAAGTATTGTAAACACTGCTTTATATACCTTTTACCGATCTTGTGTGAATATTTGTTGATTGCAGACATTTTTACTACGCTTTTAAACAAATGAAGTTAGGCTTATAGCTTCTTAACGAAACATTCAACTAATATATTACACTTTTTTTTAGCATTTTAAGATATCAATAAATTATGTTGAAATATACTTAACGAATTCATATGTATTAAAATACGAAGCGTCTACTTACAGAATAATCATTCCAAGCGGGACTATCATACATCAACTATTTAATTATATGAATATTCGTTTGTTTGTTTTAATTATGCACAAAGCTACACACAAAGGCTATCTATGCTCTGCCCACTACGGGTATCGAAACTCGGTTTCTAGCGTTGTAAGTCCGCAGACATACCACTGTGCCACTGGGGGGCGATGAATATTCAAAACAAATACTGAGAAAAATTCATTTGTAAAATAGAAACTTTAACAATTGTTATACAATTATAAAAAAAGAAGTAAAATTAAGCCTTAAGTAATAAAATTTAATAATAAAGTTGAGTTAGCTATTTGAAGCATAATCATAGCTATGTTCGATGCACTGTTGCGCACACGGTAATATATTTCACCTGTCAAATTCGTAACTCAGTGACCTGTTCATAGCGAATAGTGAAGATTTATATGTGATACTACTGGCGGCGACAAAGTGAAGCATTACTGCCAAGTATTCAGAACTTTAATAAACATCTAAGGGACTGTTAACAATTATCTACATTACAAATTATAGAGCATTGTTCGATAACGGTGGGTGGATAGGTAAAAAAGGCACAAACCTGCTCGCCAAACTACCAATAGAGTTAATAAATTGTTTACTTTTCCTATTAATGTTTTTCTGTAATAAATGAGGCCAACAGGGCACACCAGGCATTATATTTCAAAATGTTTATGTTCGATAAAAGGAATGAGTGGGTGGATAGGCCTTGGAAATATGGAGCAATGTTTCAAATTTTTTAATGATGATAATTGTGAATAGTCCTTAAATGTATTGAACTTTAGCAATATTGAAATACTTTTTAGTTTGTAGTATTTAAGATAGAAATCCAAGGGTATTAAAAAGCAATAGTATATTTTCGTCTAATACGCAAAAAGTAGTTTAAAATAAACACGGAAACGATTTAAATGCGAAAAACAAAAGGGAACTCACACAAAAAGTTAAAGGTAAGAACAAAATTACCAGAAACAAAAATCGCAGATCAGAAATGATAAATCAGAAGAAGAAATTCCAAACAGAATAGAAACAGGAACAATTGAAAATAAAGTTAAGCTTTTAAGGGTTTGTTCGAAGTGCAGAGGGTTGAGTACGCTATACGACTTTGATATTAAGCCTATTTTACCTATAGTTAATTTGTTTACTCTTTTAGAAAAATTACCAGATCAATATGATGAACCTAACAGCTTAAATATGCTTTAAAATCAAAATCCTCGTCACCCAGTGGCACAGCGGCATGTCTGCGGACTTACAACGCTAGAATTCGGGTTTCGATACCCGTGGTGGGCAGAGCACAGATAGCCCATTGTGTAACTTTGTGCTTAATTACTAACAAATAAACAAAATCCCTCGAAGAAAGAAAACTTTTACTGACAGAATATTAAGTTTTCATAAAGTGACTTTTTCTTTTGATATTATTTGTTTTTTTTTTTTTTCATTTAATACTATTCTATAGGATTGAGGATGTTATATTAAAACAATTTTAAATATGAAAATCAGAAAGTTTTGTGACAGCCACAACCGATATAAAGTCGCGGTGGAACTGAATGTATTATAACTACACTTTTACATTGTTTGGCGTGCATAGGTAGTGTGATGCAACCGAAACTCTATCTTTTTTTGTTAAGGGCATTTAACAGCCCTTTCCAACGTTAAATATTCATACACTCAGATTATAAATATATTCTTAGATTCATGATTTAGATTTTCTAAGATAGGGATATTCCTTGTTCTTAATGACATTTTAAATCAACGGTATTAGCCTAATGTGTTTCTATACACAAATATGTAAATATTGACTCATAGTTACCCTCTTCCCCCAGTGGCACAACGGTATGTCTGTGGACTTACAACGCTAGAAACCGGGTTTCGATACCCGTGGTGGATAGAGCGCAAATAGCCCATTGTGTAGCTTTGTGCTTAACTACAAACAGATTTATGAAGTCAGAGTTTTTGTTCACCAGATTTTGAAACTTTCAGAACAGCAAAAGTCCTTGAATAACTTGATTCAAGGAGGTCAGAGTTTTTGTTCATCAGATTTCGAAACTTTCAGAACAGCAAAAGTCCTTGAATAACTTGATTCAAGGATTTTACTTGTGAAAAGCAGTATTACAGTTTGAAATAATGATATATATTTAATTTTACTTGTGAAAAGCAGTATTACTGTTTGCGTCATTTTTTATCATTTCTATTCTACTAAGCCTTCAAGCCTAGTTTCTTTACTAGGGTCAAAAGTTGATTGCTTTTGTTGTAAAAGATGATTTTGCAAACAGAAACGTTTACAGTGTTGATATTTAAAAAATAAAATATAGATACTAGAATAGAACAAGTGAGTGTGTTTAATACGTGTATTATCCACGCATATAGGCTCAGCGAAATTCGGATGGTATGTAAAAAGAGTTAGCATTTTTTAAAATTGTTTTCTTAAAAATGAATTAACAAAACAGTACTTTATTCTTTAATATGGTTTTTACTCTCCACAGTAGATTAGCGTTTTGCTTACCTGGACAAAATAATAAGTATGTTTAAAATAACAAATTACTTCTAATATGGTTTTTACTTTCAACAATAGCTTAAGGTCGTGCTTACCTCTAGAAAATGACAGGTATTTTTAGATGAAATATTATTGTACTTTCTTTCTTTATATATTATGTTATAACATTTTAAAGTATTTACTCATAAATATGTATGAATATTACAGAGCAATACTATGACACTCCCTTGCCTTGCGTATTGGTCTTGCATGGCCAGGTGGTTAGGGTGTTCGACTCGGAATAAGTAAATTTTGACAATATATTTTATTAAAATACTATGTTCTCACTTCAGCGCTTCAGATTCTATCCTTTTTAAGCGATGTATTATCCCCAAAATAGTGTAAAATGTTTCCGAAATAAATCTCCGGTATATACTTTGTGATTTATAATATAGGTTGTATAAGCTTTACGTGGACATAAGTTTGTAGTAACCGTAAAATTCACGTCTTATGGGTGAAATGACTGTTTTAATCAGAAGTAGAGCTTGCTCTTGTAGATGTTCGTTTTGATAAATCAATATATATTTATTATTTCAATGAAACTGCTTTGTACTTAAATATCAATAAGATATTATCTATATAAATATGTTTTAAAACGAGACCCAAAACTCGAGCGCTTTCGAATAGTTCACTATTCTCTTCAGGAGAATAAAGGGTTATGTTTAATGAGGGTAATGAAATTTATAGGCACGGATGTCGATGTCACGTAAACCGGATGTTCAGTATGTGTTAGCCTTGAGAGCTAGCCAATCATAACCTAGAGTTGTTTGTGTTAGGTTTAGTTTGTGCCAAAGAGGTGTGTACAGTACATACAGTTATAAGAAATGATATCAGATAATATTAAAAATAAAATAACGGGAAAAGGTGGTGGGGAATACAGAAAATTATAATGTGACGCAATATATAGGAAATAATACCAACATAGAGAAATTTAAACAACAATAATACTAATAATGTAAAATAAAGTTAATCATGAATTTAGTTTTGAAAATCTTTTCAGAGACTTGCGAATGTCAACAATCCCGGGATCGAGATTGATACCATTTGGCGATACAGTATTTAATAGTGCTATTCAATAAACTTCTTTAATTTTCCTGTTTCTGTTAGATGTAAAATTTGTCTACATACCCGTAAGTTTGATAATGTCTTCAAGGGAGTGTCCAGGCAAGTTAAAGTGTTTTACGAGTGTCCAGGCATGTTAAAGTGTTTTGCAACCGGAAGTTATTTGTTTGTTTTTATTGTTAATTTGTGGTTATTAAAACGTTCATGTATAGTTGTCTTGGTTTGACCTACATATTGGAAGTGGCATTTTAGACATTGAATTAAGTAAATATAAAAAAAAAATAGGGCAGGTTATGGGTTTGATGATTTTGAACTGCTTTTGGTTGTAGTTATTGGAAAATCTGTCCGTTTCCTGCATGAACTTACAGGCTTGGCATCGCTTGCTATTGAAAGGTTGATGTCCACCTGGTGTCGACTTAAAGTTGACTTTAGCGTGAACTAAATGTGAATGCAAAGTTTTATTTTTCCTGAAAGAAACGACAGGAACTTCAATAAAAATGAATTTTAATCGATCATTAAGTTGAAAGAGGTAAAATTGTTTCTTTAGTATCCGTGGTAGGTTTTTTAGTTTTGGATGATAGGTAATAACTAGTGGAACACGAGAGGAATTGGTTATAGATAATTGTTTCAAGGCAGATCCACATGGTTTTTGGGTTATAGTGTTTTGTTTATAACCCCTTTCAGTCATAGTCTGTTTCAAATAATTAATGTGACGGTGATAGTTCTTACTATCAGAGCAAATCTTCTTTAACCTAAGTGCTTGATTGAATGTGATACTGTGTTTGGTGATAGCTTTGATTATGTAAGTATTGTGGTTTATCAGTTGGTTTTCGGTACAAATCAATACGTAGAACAGGTTTACATCTAAGATACTTATTTGGATAGTGGAGTAATCTAGAGTAAATTTAATAGAACTGTGGAAGGTGTTAGCATGTCTATAAAAGAACAGTAATGAATCTTGGTCTCCTACCCAAATGAAAAAAAAAAATCATCAATGTAGCGTCTCCAAAACGTTGGTTTGTCTGTGCAACCTTCCAACAGTTTCATCTCTAAGTCTCCCATAAAATGTTGGCATAGTTTGGTGCCCATAGCTTGAAAATATAACAACTTTTGTAGGTGATCCTCTGTGCTAACTTCTTAACCAGAATCTATATAAATATAATAGTAATGTCTGTTGTCTATTGTATATACATATAACTACTTCGCAGCGTGTGGATAGATCTTCACCAAAATTGGTATGGAAGCTCATTATGTCCATGCGGGTGTACATACAACTTTTCAGTTTTGCGTTTTTTTTTTACCATTACTTCGCCACCTGTTGATGAATCTTCACCAAATTTGGTATGAAAGTTTGCTGAGATACATGCAAACTTGCGGCTTCATATTTTGTGTTTTGCAGTTTTTATGGGCATTTTTACGTTTTTTACAATTACATATAAGGGAAGCAACTTTTCATGTCCTAAGATAATCATGAATTTACATAACTTCCGTTCACAGGACGGGTACTCCAGCTAGATAATCCATAAGATTAAAGAAACCTGAATAGTATATTTTTTGAGCTTATAACAAAATTGGTAAGTAGAATTACGAAAAGTAAGTATATAATGGAGTATATACATATGGTAGTGAAGCACCTAATGATAAAAGCAATCATATATTGTTATAATAAAACACACAGGACGTAATGTAACTTGTCAAAATTTCATGAAAAATTTGAAGTTAACTAAAAAATTACTGGACTAATAATACTTGGTGCAATAATGAAAAAAGAGGAGATTTACTGCTATCCAAAATACTTCCCGTAAAAGGTACGTGCCCAGTATTTGTTTACATGGAATTTGCAATCATAATTTTATGAAAGTTTCGTGCGTTATACTAAAACTATTTTGAATATGAAATTCAGCAAGCCACGTGGCAACCATAGCCGATATAATGTCGCAGTGGAACGGCGAGTATCTAACAGCATTTTGAAAGTGTTTAGCTTTTGTAGGTAGTGTGATGCCACGGAAAGTTGATCGCTTTTGGGAATGGTTTGTAACAGACTTTGCTGACGCAAAATATTCCTACATGCAGATTAAGAATATGTGTTTAGGTTGGGGATTTCGAAATTTTTAGTGGGGAATATTCCTTGTACTTACCCTTTGCCGAACATAGTCGCCCTTTCAGGCGTGGGGGCGTTATAATACGACAGTCAATCCCACTACTCGTTTGTAAAGAGTAGCCCATGAGTTGGCTGTGAGTGGTTTTGTCTGCCTTCCCTCTAGTCTAGCGCAGATACTATAGGAGTAGCTTCAGGCAAAATTCAATAAAACAAACAAACCTTTGAACTTAATGGCATTGAAAAACAAAGAAATATGAATCGACTTGAGACACCAGGTCCATTGAGAAAGAGACCTGCAAAATGTCGTACCCCAGCTTTCGTAAGCCAAGAATAGCTTGTTGTAGCAGTGAGAATCCACAAACACAAAAGTCAGTGACAAAAACCCAGGACAGCAGTACACAACGTAGCCAATAATGTTTTAGTTTGGAAAAGTGACAAAATTGACATGTACACAAGTTGTTTCCACAACATATAACTTTAGCCACTCCATATCTCAAACCGCTTAGGAGTTAATCAGTTATTCCTAATATTCCATATTGGTCAAATAGTTGGACGTATCGCCTATAGATTTCTGAGCAATCAGACTGTTGAAACGGGCCATTTCGTACACTAGATAGCTTATGAATAGCACATGCAGGGAGTGGAGGTATTCTATAGACATGCCAGTCTTATGGCGGAACCTTTTGTAGTCAAACTGTGCTGCAGCGCTATTGGCAAGATACCCGACTATTAAATTTGAGTATGGCTAGACGTGGTGACATGAACTGTAACGACGTGGTAAAGCTCCAAAATATTTTTAATTTAACATAATCAACTTCTATATTGTCTGAGGAAGGGAAAAGTAGCCGTGTCGGTCCTATGTATGGTCATACAGAAAATGGCAGTAATACCTAGACCCAACAAACCTTATGCCAAATTAGGTGAAGATCCATCACCAGGGTGCGAAGTAGTGGTGAAAAAGGTAAAACGTCCACAAAAACCGCAAAACGCCAGATGCAAAGCTGAAAATTGGATTGTATCTCCCCTTGGAACAGATGAACCTCCATACCAAACTCGGTAAAGAACCATTGACAGGGGGCGAACTAGTGATTAAAAACGCAAAAACACCCATAAAAAACGCAAAATGCAAAACTGAAAATTTTTACGTAGTCCCGCATGAGCATAATGAATTTCCATAACAATTTGTGTGAAGCTCCATCCACACCCTGTGAAGTAGTTACAGACAACAGACAGTACTATATATTTATATAGATTATTATTTCACAATTCAACACCAAATATGGAGTGACTACTGCTGAATAAATGATACGTAACTAAACGTATAACAAATAGTTGACCAAATGTTGCTTCGATAATATGCTACATGTAGGGTGTACGAATTGAATACTTTTATTTTGTGGATTAATCTGGACCTCAAAAGAATCCAGGAATGTAACGTAAGGGGAATATTTTTAGCATGTTGCGATTCAAGAAAACAACAACAAAAAAGATATTGACCAAGTGCAACAAAATTCAACATCGACTTTATAACATATATCATTACATAAGCAACAACAGGCAGAGCAATTTCTGTAGTAGATGTGATTTAGAGATTTAAAACATGAAGCGTGTTTTGGTGGGGGGTTTCATAGAAAGTCTATTTAGCTCTTCAGGTAAATTTAGGTTCATTGAGTGTTGGTAGCCATACTTCTTTCGTGTTCTAAAAACTGAAGCAATTCTGTCCTGATTCACACAGTTCGTTTTGAGTTATTTCGAAAAAAAAGCTCAAGTAACCTCAAATTACGGCACATACCAAATCATCAGAAGTGAGATAAGCCTTATGAACATAATAAATAAAACTGTGTAATCGATTATCACAATTGACGTTTAAATATCAACATAGTATTATGACCAACTTTACTTTGTTAACTGGTTGAAACGTTTGGGTATTTTCTAAAATAATCTGTTTAGTAATTTTTAGGATTTATTACTAAGCTTCTAAAGATATATAACATACGATTTACTTGGTTATTTTAATTCATTTTTTTTATTTGGACAAGTATGTAATAGTTTATATATATAAACATTTTTTTATAAATTATATGGCAAAGTTATTTTAAAACTTAAAACTGTGTTTATAGTTTCAACGATAATCTGAAGTTAGACTACGCGACAACGTAATATCATCAGTAAACTGCACAGAAGTTCTACTCAATCTCTTAGATCATTACGTTTGTGTAAAAAACGTTGTTCTTTCGTTATGTCTTTATATTGTACCTGTTATGTTTCATGTTTAAAAAGAAATTTAGTCCAAAGGCATCATATTTCTAAGTTCATTAAAAACCATGCAATACGATTTAACATAAAGATAACGACGACACCTAGGTTTGCTCAGTTAGAACAATGTTACATGTGACACATGAACGTCAGTAACAATGTTCACCCATAGTTCATTCAAACACATAATAACATATAAAGTCTTTGTTATAATACCTTGCTTGCAATAATAACATTATAATTTTTATTCTAAGGCATTGTTTAAACACATATATTTCTAGCGGACAGAATACTAGAATAATAAACTTCTTATTGGAACTTGAATTCGAAACTTTGTCACAAAAGATGATAATTGTAATCGATTCATTTTTCGGAAAACTTAACTCAATAATAAAGGAAAACACAAACGTGATAACAGGAAGCATTTATTAAGCGTTTCGGAAACTTCAAAATTCCATAATCAGTAATCTAGAGGTACAAAACAAAGACAATTGTAAATACAACAGAAAATATGATGTAATTTATAATACATAAGAAGTAAAGAATTTGAATATAAAAAGTAGAACAAGAGAAAATGAAAAGTATGTACCACAAATGAAATAGTTAAATTAAAATAGATTTAAATCAAGTGAAGACTGAATTATTTAGAGACGGAAGAAGAGTTTTTATGTATAACGTTTCTTTTATTAGAAGTTCAGTATCATGTTTGGCTGTTGAGAAAATCTTAATGTTGGAGAGAAGAATTGGATCACCAGTTTTTGAATTGTACCTATCAATAGCGGAGTTGGGAGGGTTTTGAATGTCCATATGTTCAAATGCTCGTACTTTAAGGTGACGTTTGGTTTCACCAATGTAGGATACCTTACAGTCTCCGCACGTATTTAAGTAGATGAGATGTGAACAATGGACAGCCCACCAGTGGCACAGCGGAATGTCTGCGGACTTACAACGTTAGAATCCGGGTTTCGAGACCCGTGGTGGGCATATCACAGATAGCCCATTGTGTTACTTTGTGATTAACTTCAAGCAAACGTGTGGATTGTATAACGTTTAAGTGAAAGGATATTTTATGTTACTGAAAATCTTTGAAATAATCACTTGATTTGCAATTAAAGGTCTTTTTACGGTTATGTTCATTTGTGAAAATTGTACTTAGATGTCAAGAACACTGTTATATAGGTATTATAAAGACAAACTACTGAAATAGTAAGCTTTAAACTATTGCATGATATTTAGATATTTAAATAAGCATCCTTTTCAGGACGATAAACTAAATTATTGGTTATAATAACTGCCTCATTCAAAAAAGATTTTATTTATGAAAGCAAAAAGCAGATTTATTAAAATCTTATGGATGGTAAATTGTCGTTAAAATATTGGTTTTATTTGTAATGTAATTAAATCTAGACATTGATGACATAATCATATGTGTAAGTGTAGTAACACCATCCACCCTTGTAAAACTCTTGTAAGTTAAAACAATAATATAACATGTGTAAAATGAAATATTTTGTCAAGTTATATGGATAGCATAAGCTAGTGAAAGTGTAATATTATATTGTTTAGAGATTTGAATAAGCATCCTTTTCAGGATGATAAGTGATTTACATGTGAAAGGTCAGGAAATGTAAAAAGTATGATTAAATGTAGAACTAATGAATTATTATTTTATACTGATTGTACTAAATCTAGTCATTGATTACACGTTGATCCACTTCATGGACGTCATTGTCTCTGACATCAAGGCCTTCTGTCATGGCGGCGTAGTATCGCGTTCCTAACAATGCACCCTCTCTGGCGACATCATTGCATGGCGCCAGCGCCCTCTGGTGACACTTCATGGAATTATGATGTAATCGTCTCTACCCCTTCCCCTCCAAATTGCGCGAGGTCGACATTCCTAACTACTTTGCTCAGGAGTATTCTTGGAAAAATAGGCAAATATTT